ACTACTATTTCTTTACTTTTATTTTGTCGTGTAGTAAGTAATACCTACTGTCATATATATAGCAACACACACATATATATATATATATATATATATATATATATATATATATATATATATATATATATACACACACACACACATTGTATCTTCTTTATCCATTCATCTGTTGATGGACATTTAGGTTGCTTCCATGTCTTGGCTATTGTAAATAGTGCTGCTGTGAATATTAGGGTACATGTATCTTTTCAAATTAGAGTTTTCATCTTTTCCCAATATATGCCCAGGAGTGGGATTGCTGGATCACATGGTAACTCAATTTTTAGTTTTTTAAGGAACTTCCATACTGTTTTCCATAGTGGCTGCACCAAATTATGTTCCTAGCAACAGTGCAGAAGGATTCCCTTTTCTCCACATGCTCTCCAGCATTTATTATTTGTAGGCTTTTTGATGATGGCCATTCTGACTGGTGTGAGGTGATACCTCATTGCAGTTTGCATTTGCATTTCTCTAATAATTAGTAATGTTGAGCATCTTTTCATGTGTCTGTTGGCCGTCTGTCTGTCCCCTTTGAAGAAAGGTCTGTTGAAGTTTTCTGCCCATTTTTTGATTGCGTTGTTTGTTCTTTTGTTATTGAGTTCTATAAGCTGTTTGTATATTCAGGAAATTAAGCCCTTGTCAGTCACATCGTTTGCAAATATTTTCCCCTGTGTACGTATTTCTGACGGCACCTATCCCTAGCAAAAGAATCAAGATCGGTTACTTCCGTGGGACAGTCCCTCCAATCAGGTAAGTCAACTCATGAGACCAAAGTATAAAACTAAGGGTTGTCCAATTAGCACCGTTTAGGGCTGAAGTAGTAAATTGCCCCTCTCTACTCTAGGGACAACTTTACCTAGGAAAGGTAATTTCTGCATAAACACAACACACCCTCTATGACTCTATAAGAGTGATACATACTTACTAACCTTTCTAAATTTTCATTTTAAAAAACAATCAAGAATGCATTTGCGAGCGCAGAGTGGGTTGGGTGGTCGTTGGAGGGGCTCCTTTCCAGCTCGGAGAACGGGCTCCTCACTGGGCGGCGTGGCGGACAGGAAGCCGCCTGAGGCGTGGGCTCCGGGTGAGAGACGCTGGCCCGAGCCAAGCCCCCCGCGCGTGAGCCCCGCGGGTGGGAACGCGCCCCGCAAACGCCCGGACGCTCACGCGGCCAGGAAAAGCGCGCCCTCTACCCACAGGGTGAAAAAACCCTCACTGCTTCAGGCCTGGGGCCGTTGCGCTTGCAGAAGTCGGTCTTCTGGAAATCCACCCAGCTCCTGATGGGGAAGCCGCCTTCCCAGAGGCTGGTGAGGGAGAGAGCCCAGGATTTCAAAACTGACCTGAGGTTCCAGAGTGCCGCCACTCGTGCACTCCAGGAGGCTCGTGAAGCCTACCTGGTGGGTTTGTTTGAAGATACCGATCCGTGTGCCATCCACGCTGAGAGTCACCATCAAGCCGAAAGGCATGCAGTTGGCTCGCTGGATGGTGGGAAGGCAGTTTTTATGGTGTAGCAAATTTTTTGTTTTAAAATACTTTGGTTTAATTTGTGACATTTTTTGTCAGAAATTATTTATAAGATGTTGCATTTGTACTTGAGGCATTCCATCTTTCACTCAGGTTGAATGTGAAAAGTGTTCGCAGACCTCAGTAATGTGAGCACTATTGCTCAGGAGTGACAAGTTGCTAATATGCAGAGGGGTTGAGTGGTAGTTCTTGCTTCTCATGATGTATGTTTCTGTGTGTTAATGACTTGTTGGGCAGCTATTAAGGTACTAAAATTGATAACGGTGTACAGGGTCCTTCCTTTTGCAATAAAACTGGTTATGATTTGAAAAATAAAAGTAAAAATGCATTTGCTGTGTTTGTGCATAGAACAGTTCTAGAAGGATTCTCAACAAACTGATAGCAGTGTTTGCCTCCAGGCTGTGGACACTGGCCCCAAGCCATCACCACTTCTCAGGTAGATTCCAGCAGTGACCTCAGAACTGGTCTTTTTGCTGCTAGTCTCAGCCCCCACAGTTCATTCACTACACAGCAACAAGATTTGATTATTTAAAAAAAAACCCTATTCTGTCCCTCCCCCACTCAAATCCTTATTAAGAGCCTCCTTCTGCAAGTAAAATAAAATCCCAGCTCCTTGCTGTGGATACGAGCCTCCGCATGATGTGGCTCCACCATTCCTCTCTGACCTCCCGTGACCCTTTCTGCTCCCGCGCATGGACCTCCTCTCTTCCTCGGACACTCCGAACTCATTGCTCCCTCAGGGCCCGTGCCCTTCCTGGTTGCTCTGCCAGGAATGCTCTTCCCCAGATCAACATACAACTGGTCCTTCTCGTCATGCAAGTCTTGGTGCAAATGTCACCTGAGAGAATTCCCCTCTGACCATTGTGTCTAAAGTAGCCCTTCCCCTGGCACACCAGTGGTCCTTTCCCTGGTACCTGGTTTCGTTTTCGTCATGCCCCTTACTACTGCAGTTATTTCTTGAGTTGTCTGTTAATTGTCTACCCTCCCTAGAATGTAAGCTCCTTGAGGGCAGAGACCTTGTCTCATTTTACTGCTGTTTCCTTGGTGTTTAGAACAGTGCATGGCACTGAATGAATGACTGATGTCTGAGGTCACGAAGGAAGGTTTCAGGTCGTGGGCCGTTGTACTAATACAAGTTCCCATGGTTGCTGTAACAAAATTACCACAAACTCAGTGGCGTAAAACAACACAGATTTATTATCTTACAGTTTCAGATGTCAGAAGCCTGCAATGGGTCATATGGAGCTAAAATCAAGATAGAAGCAGAGCTGAGTTCCTTCTGGAGGCTCTGGGGAGAATCCCCTTCCTTCCCTTTTCCCACTGCGAGAGGCTGCCTGCGTTCCTTGGCTGTGGCCTCCTCCTCCATCGTCAGCGTCAGCACACAGCAGCTGCACATTTCCCTGACAGTCACGGCTCCCTCTTGTAAGGACCCTGTGATCTCATTGGGCCGACCCAGACAATGCAGGAAAATTTTCCCATCTCAAGATTCTTAACTTAATCATGTCCTCAAAGTCCCTTTTACTATGTAAGGTAATATATTCACAGGTTTCATAGGGGAGGATATGACATCTTTGGGAGTCATTAATCAGCTTGTAGCAGCCATAACCCTCAGTCCTAGTTTAGTCGCCCTGACTCAGGCTCTGCACCCACCCTGTAGCCTTCTCAGACCATGTCCCCTGTAAGAACAGATAACCAGTCCTTTTGTGCCTGCACCATACTGGATTCTGTCACAGCACTTACTGCTCTTCATAGAAACGAATGCATCTGTTAACCTTTCTGCTCCTCCATTAGGCTGTGTGCCTTCTAGGGCTGGATCCAATGTTCATTCACCTTTGCGTCTTCAACACTTAAAATGCTGATTGGTTGATTCATTCATTCATTAATTCATCCAAAAATATTTACTGAAGGCCTACTATGCTCAAGATGCTGGGAAATATAGTGCTAAACAAACACAGAGTTGGTCTCTGCCCTCAAAGAGCTTACAGTCTATCTGGATAGGGAGACAATTAAACCGCCAGTAACATAAAAGGAGACCACCGATAGGGTCAGTGCAGTGGGAGATCAGAACAGGAGCAGCCACTCTCGTCTGGAGGTGTTAGAGGGCTTCTGAGCTATGTGGTCTCTGCTGAGGGCCAAGGATGAGAAAGAATGAGCCATGAGTGCAGTCTGAGGGAACAGCTCACAGCCACCCAGCCACCACTGAGGCAGCACCACTGCCACCATTGGGCCCCCCGCACCACCAGGTCCCACCATAGTGGGCAGGTGCCCCCAAAGCAGCCATAACCCAAGTGATGCGTTAGAAATGAATGCTCCCGAGGAAACTTTGAGAGTCATAGATACGTTCATTATCCTGACTGTGATGATGGCTTCACACACATATGTCAAAGCTTATCAGCTTAGACATTTGGAGCTCACTGTCAATGTCAGTTGTACCTCAATAAAGCTGTTTAAAAATAGCAATGAACTGAATTAAACTAAATCAAATGTCTCTTTAAAAATAAATCATTATCAAGCACAGTTTATCCTGGTAATGCAAGAATAATTCAATAACAAGAAATCTAAAAATGTAATTTATCACATTAATAGACTCAGTGAGAAAAATCATAGAATTATCCAAAGAGAGACAAAAAGAGCTTTTGGTAAAGTTCAGTGCTGTTTATAATAAACCTAAAAAATAACTTTCAATAATCAAAGATAGAAGGAAAGTTGCTTCACCTGGTAAAGGTTAACAGCTGTATATTATATGTTAACTATGGTTAACATAATACAAATGGTCACTTGCATCACTGCTGTTTAATATACAGCCTCTTTTTGCAAATAGATTGTAAGCTTTTTGAGGGCAGAGACCTCAAAAATGTTTGCTTAGCACGTAGTTGGCTGTCAATAAATATTTTTTGAATGAGTGTACTAGAGATTCTGACCAAAGTTCAAAAAATAGAGAAAGAAAAAAGTGTAATACTTAGCAGAAAGAGCTAAAATCTGCATTATTTGCAGGCCATATGCAAATATACTTTGAAAGCAATTAAAGCACAATTAGAACAAGGAGATGACCCTGGCATGAACTAAATGTCCGGAGGACTGACTGCAGTGAGAAAGACTCTGGGAGCTCCCCTCTGCTCAGGGCATGGGTCTGTCATTCTACCTAAAGACTTTGCTCTTCTTAAACTGATCACTTTAAACATACGCGTTTCATTGTATGTCAGTTATGCCACAATAAAGCAGTTTAAGAAGAAATGTTTCCTTCCACAAAGAGATCATGAGACAATTCCATCAGAGCTTGTTTCCTCCACCCACTTCCTTCCTTCAGTCCAACACTACTGTCTGCCTCCCTGACCTGCCACAGTCCCAGCCTCTGTGCCCTCCTGAACCCCCACTCTGTGATGAGCACCCCTGGAAGACTCTTTCCTCTCTCTCTCCTTTTTTTAATTTTTAGTAATTTTAATTTTAGACCTCTGCACGACCAAAAAATTACCATCTTAGAAACCTCAAACCCAGCTCTCCAATAACCACCTCACCTTCCAGGTCACTGGCTCAACCATGCCGATCTCAATAGTTTGTTTTCTTCACATTTACCTCCAATCCATGGATCCCACCATTTCCCCAGCATCCGGCAGTCTCCACCTATTTCTCCAAGAATTTGGGTTTCTTTAATGAGAAATGGAAATTAGAGAGCACCATGAACTAGGAACGCTCGTGACTATTGCGTTGGTCACTCAAGGTCTTTTCACTGGACAAAGCTATGTATATAGAGTGTTCATACTGATATTTCTAATTCAAATTTGGAACTATCAAACTACAAATCTGTATTTTCTTTCTTGCATCAAAAATTGTGGTTCTTCGTAGAGATTGCACCCAAGTTTACATGAGGCTGTTTCTTCCCAGGTTCTAAAGAGGAAGCTTCACACTCTAGCCACAGACAAACAGGCACGAAGGAGAATTAGCTGGAAGTTGAAGGGGTGGACTGGAGTCTTTGATGTGTCTGGACCAACTTTTTGTTTTGCTACTGGCTGTATGTTTTTATCTGTGGATGGCTTGCTTGAGTGCAGATTTTGGTGACCTTGTACACAAAGGTGTGAAGAGTTGGGTTGGCTACAAAGCATAGAACAAGGAATTTTAAGCAAAGGCAGACCTTCGCTTACTCTGAAGATTTCAAGAGCATTAATGACAGCAGCAGTCATGCAGCTTACCAGTTGACAGGCAGCTTGCTGGATGCTTACGGGATAGAAGATCGATCAACTTTCAATTTTAATAAACCTCTATAAACCATAAATAATAATAATCATGGTTCTTAAAGGTACATAAATAGAAAATTAGAATATTTCATAATTACTCGTTTGCTTTACCCCACATGACACATTCAACAGTCTCAGAATAAACTGGTAATATTGCCTCCACCAATTATGATTACTGAAAACAGATTAAAAATTTTTTTGCAAATGTCATCCCCTCCCATTTTGTGTGGTTATAATATCTACATTGTCAGATTCTATGGTCATTATATACTATGCTCTCTCTTTTAACCTTCATTCAGTCCCAGTTCTATAAGTAACTAATATTACAGTACTCATTCACAGCCCTTATGTTGATGTCCATATAGGAAGCTGGGTTGTCTGAAGTGCATTCTCTAGTGGACTTCTTAGGAAAGACTCATGGGAACAATATTCCCTGAGTTCCTGCATATTGATAACAATTTGTCGGTGGCCACTATAGTTGAAGATTAGTTTGCTTTGGCTCACATGCTCTTTTCTTGAATATTTAAAATATGTCAACTTCATTTCCTTCTTGCATAAAGTACTGCTGTCAAAAAGTCTTGATAATTTTCTAACTTGACCCTTATGAGTCATACTCTTTTTGTCTGATCAAGAATTTTTTTTTTCCTTTAAAGTCTAGTAATTTTATTAGAGTATGTCTTGGTGTTGGTCATTCTAGGTCAATATTTTTGAGTAACTTCTATATTCTTTTAATACACAGTTTTGAAATTTTTAATTTTAGGGAAGTTATCTCGAGTAGTATTTGGTGTTTTTCTGTTCCTTTGCTTTATTTTTCTTTTTCAGAGATTTCTATTAACCTATTAGTGGGGTCCATGGAGACACTCAAAAGTTACCTAAAGAAAGAAAATATGAGTCAAGGATTTTATAATATCTACCTAGTTTGTAACGTTTGTCATTTTCTCTTGAATCCTCTTACTTCATTCAACTTTTAATTTCTTCCTCTTTTTCATCATTCCTTTTAAGGCATTACTTGTGTTTATTTGCTCTTGGGTTCCTTATGGTTCAGTCTTCATTGCCAAAATGTTTTTTCCTTTACTTCAGTTTTTTCCTTCAGTTCTATTACTTCAAGCATTCTTGAGCTTAAAATTTCTGGCTTATGTTATTCTTTCATGTTTCTTATTGCTTTCTTACCGTCTTTTGGCTCATTTTGAAATAAAATGTTACAAGTTTCGCCTGTTTTGTGAGCATATGTCTGGCAGGCTTTCTATGCCCATAGGGCTGATTTTCTATTTCTGATTATATATATAGTAACTTTGTATAGGATTTAACTTGGTACTTTCTGCTGCTCATCTTTACCTGAATTTAATTTTCCTGAAGGATTTGTTCAGGTAGGTTTCCTATCTCGATGGAGCTCCCTCTTCTGTTGCTTTGGGGTCAGTGTTTAAAATACGGTGGCTTGCTCTGTGAGATTTTCCTGCTTCACACCCCGACCCGACTTTCCTCCGGACCTTCTCTTCTTTTGTCTCCGTTGCCCCAGTCCTGCTCAATTTTGATTCCTCTCTTAGCAGTTTTTCTTAAGTCTGGGACCTGTCCCGCAAGGGAGCCCTGGATGGTCAGCTTGGAGAGTTTAAAGGGGTGAAGTAACCCAAACTCTTCAGGCCATGCCGGTACGTGGGGGCCTTTGCCTTCATCCGCCACTGGGGGGGGCGCAAAATTTCCCTCAGTTTCAGCTGCCGTTGTCGGATCGGCCGGCCAGGCTTCCCATTTGGAGCTCGTCCTGTTCTCCTTCTCAGACCCCCGGGTTGCTTCCTCTGCTCTCTCCTGCATACACACCCATTACAACAAGCAGGTCTTGTGGCTTTCGGTGTTCATTCCCACTGCTTGTATTTTGGGGTTTGTGGGGACACTTTGCCCCCTAGTTTTGTTGTAATGTTGCCCATGAATTTTTGGTTTTGCCAGCTAGTAACTGTTCTGTCTGTATTCTATTTTGGTGGGGATTTGTGAAATCCAAGAACCGAGTTGCCTTGCGGCTGCCGTCTCCCCACCCACCACTACACAGACCCCCCCTCCTTACTCTTGTATGGGACCCTGCTTATGCTTTACTCTTCTTCATGTGGTAGTGATATGTGTACTTGTCCATTATCTTTTTCTCCCTAGGCTGTAAGTGCCGACGAGCTCAAGAATAGCGCCTGGGAAATAGGGCTCAATAAATATTTGTTGAAGGAAAAATGTTCCAGAAGAAGTAGCATATTAGGAGGTTGAGAGAAAAGAGTCAGTTTGTGGCAGATACACAAAATGGGATAGAGAAGTGGTGAGAGACAAAGCTGGAGGATTGGACCAGGTCAGAGTAGGGCTTTGTAAGCCTTTATCCTGAGGGCAATGAAAGTCCTTTAGAAGATTTTAAGTAAGGGAGAGGTCTGATGAAATTTCTGTTTTGTTTTGCCTTTTTAAACATCACAAACTGCAGTAAAGATAATGGATTGTGGAAACAAAGATTAGAATCCATGGAAATAATACAGTATAAATGATGAATAAAAAACTGAATTTCAGTGATCTGATTTTCAGATAGCTTGCACAGCGGAAAACATTATGAGAATCCAAAAGGCAATATAATGGCCAGAAAAAGGATGAATCTCAAAAAGATGATAAATAGCCAAGATAAGTGAAAGCTCATTCAGACCCCCAATTCATAACCGATGATCGAGCATAGGCTGGTTTAATAACAGCTTCTGGAAAGACAAGTCAGCAGAAACCCTATACGAAGTGACACTATGATGAAATTGACCAAAAATGTTAATTTACTTTTTTAAAAACAAAAATATATTCTTTCAAAAATTCACAATGAAAGTGTACAATTCAATGGGTTTTAGTATATTCACAGATACATGTAACCACCACTATAGTCAATTTTGGAACATTTCCATCACCTCAAAAAGAAACCTCAAAACAGATAAACAAATTTCTTCTGTACAGCACAGGGAACTAGATTCAATATCTTGTAATAACCTTTAATGAAAAAGAATTGAAAATGAATATATGTATGTATATGCATGACTGGGACATTGTGCTGCACACCAGAAACTGACACATTATAACTGACTATACTTCAATTTTAAAAAAACTTCATACCCATTCACTATCATCCTCCTATCCCCGCATCGTCCTCCCAGACCTAAGCAACCATTAATCTACTTTCAGACTCTAAAGATTATGTTTCTCAGGATGTTTATAAAAATGGAATTATATAATATGTGAACTTTCCTGTCTGGCTTCTTTCATATAGCATAATGTTTTCAAGGTTCATTCAAGTTGTAGCATTCATCAATATTCCATTCTTTTTATGGGCAAATGATATTCAGTTGTATGGATATATCACGTTTTGTTTGTCCATTTTTCCGTTGATAGACATTTGGGTTGTTTCCATTGTAGGGGAGGCAAAACTTTACCTCTACCCATCTTAGGTTCTCAGCTGGGGCTCTTTAACAGAAAGATAGATTGACAAGACAAAACCAAACAAGTTTATTAACACATGCAGTGCGCATCACACAGGAGAAACCTCAACAAAGAGTAACTGGAAGCAGTGACTTGGAACTCTGTCTAATATGGCATCTTCAAGAAGAAACAATAAATTTGTGGAGAAATGATAGGACAAAAGAAAAGGGCTTTAAGCTTCTAAGGGTAGGAAACTGTGGAAAGATAAATATATGTGAGGAAGCTAATGGAGTGAGATTTGTTTGCAGATTTTTCTGGTGCCGTCTCTGGGCTGATAAGGGTCTAGAGTGTCTCTAGTAAAGGAAATTTTATATCCTGCCTTTAGGCAGAAAAGGAAGAGGGGAGAGAGAGAGATTTTTCTATGTTTGCTGTTTGTAATTGCCTTTAGCTCAAAATAATTTTTATGTCAAAGAGACGTATTTTGAGATGACATATTCTGGTTTTATTCATCATCTTTTGACTATTATGAATAATGCTGTTATGAACATTCATGTACAAGTTTTGATGGGGACATATGGTTTCATTTCTCTGCGGTATATAACCAGGAATGGAATCGCTGGGTCATTTAATTTAGTCTTTGTTTCCATTAATAGACGTAGTGTTCAGGATGTGCTAAGTGATAGCCCCACTTGTAATCTGATATTCTGTCTTGGGCGACACACATTGACAAACTGGACCACGAACAGCCAAGAGAGACGGGGCAATAGAGAAGAGATTGTTAAGCAAGTCACTTAAAGAACAATGGGAGGACCTGGAGACATTTGGTTGGAGAAAAGAAAACAAAAGGAGAAAAGACAGACATCTTCAAACATGTGAAGGGTTGTTACATAGAAGCAGGATTAACCAGAGGGTAGAACTAGGCCTACCTGGTAGAAGTTACAGAGAAACATAATTGGTCTGAAGATTTTCCTTCCTTCCTTCCTTCCTTCCTTTCCAATTATTTCATTTTTTGACTACATAAAACATGAACAAAACAAAAAGTACAGAAGGATATGCAGTGATGTTTGCATCCATTCCTACAGGCAGTTTCTTGTGTATCCTTCAAGATATATTTTAAGGATATATAAACAGCATTTTTTGACTTTTTAAAAAGGAATCTGGGGCGGGTATAGCTCAGTGGTAGAGTGCATACCTAGCATGCACGAGGTACTGGGTTCAATCCCCAGTACCTCCACTAAAAATAAATAAATAAACCTAATTACTCCCTACAAAAAAATACATAAAAAGATAATTTTTTTTAAAAAAAGGAATTTAGTGCACTTTTAGAGAGAGTAAAAACATTTCTGATTCTCAGAGTGGCCCAGCCCTGTATTGATTGTCTCAAAAAGACATTCCTTATCCTGGGAGTATTCAGGGGAAATTGATAGCATCTATTAATCTTCTAGGGTATCTTTCTCTTGCAGTCTGTTTGTTAAAGAAACTTAGATTGTTGTCCTATAAAATAGCTTGCATTCTGTATTTTGCTGACTGTGTGGTATCTTTCCTCTGTTCTATGAATTTGATGTAAATTGGTATTGGACTGAGAGGCTGATCAGATTCAGATTAGGTTACTCTGGTGAGACTTCATAGGTGTCAGTGAGTTCCTCCATTAGGAGGCATATAATATCTCGTTATCTTTTTTTGTGTTGTTAGCAGCGATTGTTGCTCAAAGCTTAAATCCATAAATTCATTGGGAGTTGCAAAATGGTGATATTCTAATTACATTATCACTTCTTCATTTATTAGCTGATATATTCGTGTGAGAAACTTCCCCTCAGAGCTGTAGTAGGCTACTCTGCTGTACAGTTTATATAGGAAAGACAGGATAAGTGTTTGATACTTTATCTAGAGTTTTCAAAATAATGGTTGGTTCCTATCATCTTCCAGTGATGACTAGTTCATATTTCTTTAAGGAGCATTATGAACTCATGGATTTAATTATATTTAATGTGCTCCAGTCCACTGTGGTTATTACCCTAGTTACATTGGGGTTCTCTTCAACGTGGCTCGTGAATTCTTCTGCTAGTAGAAGGGTAATCTGTAGGGTCTGAAAGTAGATAGTAGTCTTTGATAGCTTCTCCCAGTCTAGCTTCAATCCACTCTAAATCAGGTTTAGTTTCTCAAGTGAGAGAAACTTGTCTTGTTAAAGTCATCAAAATCTCCACATATGATCAAATCCCTGGCCAATTTTCAATCCTCTTCCTTTTTGCCCTCCCGGCAGTGTTTGTCCCTGCTTGTTAAAAGTTTCTTTGCTTTTCTTCTGAGACAGTCTTCTCTCTTGGTTCTCCTCCCTCTTCATGGACACATTTGCTCTCTCTCTTCTTTGCTGGATCTCCCCTACTTCCTAACTTATGGAGTGAGAGTAGACACTGAAACACAAGGACTGAGCTCTAAAACCCCTCACCATTTAGAGATCAGAAAGAAGAGGAAGATACAGCAAAGGAGGAGCAAACTAAACCTAATGCTAGCACAGGAAAGAAATGATAAAGATTAGAGCAGAGACAAATGAAATAAGGAATAGAAAAATAATAGAATAAATGAAACCGAAAGTTAATTTTTTGAAAAGAACAAACTTGGCAAAACTTTAACTAGTCCAAAAAAAAGAGATAACAAATAACTAAAATCAGAAGTGGAGACATTACTAGCAACTTTACTATAAGACAATACTGTGAACAATTGTACACCAACAAATTAGATTACCTAGATGAAATAAGCAAATCCCTAGCAAAGGGAACTATATTCAGTATCTTGTAGTTACTTATGGTGAAAAAGAATATGAAAATGAATATACGTATGTTCCTATATGACAAGTATTGTGCTGTACACTGGACATTGACACAACATTGTAAACTGACTATACTTCAATAAATATAATAAAAATAAAAGAGAAAGAAATGAGCAAATCCCTGGAAACACAGGGATTAGCAAAACTGAATCAAGAGGAAATAAGAGGTCTGAACAGACTCATAACAAGTAGAAAAACCCCCTAATCAAAAAAGTCCAGGACCAGACATCTTCTTTGGTGAAATCTACCAAATATTTGAAAAACTGATGCTAATTCTTCTCAAACTCTTAAGAAGAGAAGGAAGAAGGAGAAGGAGAAAGAAGAAGAAATGCCCTGACTCATTCTATGAGGCCAACATTACCCCAATACCAAAGCCAGAAAAAGACATCACAAGAAAAAAAAAAATTGCAATGTCATTCAGTTCATTTACAGTATTGTACAACTGCCACCTCTATATAGTTCTAAAACATTTTTCTTACCCCCAAATAAAACCCCATATCCATTAAGCAGTTACTCCCCATACGCACTATCCCTAGCCCCTGGCAGCACCGATCTTTCTGTTTTTATGGATTTACCTATTCTGGATAATTTATATAAATGGAATCAAACAATATGTGATCTTGTATGCCTGGCTTCCTTTCACTTAGCATAATCTTTTTAAGGTTTATTTGCATTGTAGCATGTATCAGTAGTCCATTTTCTTTTCTTGTGGCCGGGTGGGGTTAGGTTTATTTATTCTTAGGGGAAGTACTGGGGATTGAACTCAGAACCTCATGCATGCTAAGCATGCTCTCTACCTCTTGCACTGTACCCTCCCCCTGCCAATAGTCCATTTTCTGTAACAGGGGAAAACTTTCAATATTTTACCACTAGGTATGATATTTTCTATAGGTTTTTGACAGATATCCTTTATCAAATTTTTAAAAGTTCCTATCTATTCCTAGTTTAATACATTTTAAAAAAATCATAATGGGTGTTGAATTTTATCAAATACAGTTTTGTTTTCCTAAAAATGTTTCTATTTCAACCAAATTTTAAAATTTATTTTAATAAAGTTATTCATGATATCCTCTTCCTAACTGTAGCATCCGTAGGAAGTCTCCTTTTTTATTCCTGTTTTTAGAACAAACTTAGCTTTGTTGATCTTCAACATTGTAAGTTTATTTTATATTTCATTAGTTTCAGCTCTTGCCTTTATTACTTACTTTCTTCTACTTTCTTTGGATTTAATTTGTTCTCTTTTTCTAATTTCTTGAAATCAATACTTAAACGGCTAGTGGCTACCATATTGGACAACAAAGAGCTAAAGGAAGCAAATGTCATAGTCTCCATTGTATCTTCAATTAATTCACCAGTCTGGTCCCTGCAAAAGACAAACAGACCCTGGAGGATTACAGTGAACGACTGCAAACCCAACCAACTACTAGCCCTAGTAGCAGCTGCTTTGCCGTATGTGGTATCATTGCTAGGGCAGAGTAACAGGGTCTTGCCGTATGCAGTATGCCGTATGCAGCCCGTGGTCGGGCAAACACATTCCTTCCCAGCCCTATCAGATAGGAGAACATTTGGAATAGGCGATGATACACATTTACATTCTTGCCCCAAGGCTATGTTGCATCTCCTGCCCTCTGTCAGAAAATAGTCTAAGGAGACCTGACCAGCTGCACAGCTCCCAGAACACCACTACAGTGAGCAGCTGGTTGATAACATCATGCAAATTGGACCGGTTGAGCAGGAAGTGGCAGGTATGTCAGATGCCTTGGGTAAGACACTTGCTCTCCAGAGAGTGAGAGATTAACCTTTTTCCAGATTTCCCTTCAGAATTAGTTGAAGCGTTGTGACTGCTCAACTTCTTCCAGTCTCGTTTCCTTCCTTTCCTGTAAGTACTGATACCAACAGCACGCACTAATAAACTGCCTGAACTCTAACCTACACTTCAGAGTTGGCTTCCCTGGGAACTCAATATGTGATCAAGGGAAAAAGTTTTACCAGGCAAAGATAAACCAAAAGCAAATTGGGATTTTAATGTGATAAAAATTAAGGCAAAAAATTATGGGGCAGTGGGCGGGGAGGGTATATATCAGTGGTAGAGCATGTACTTAGCATGCACGAGGTCCTGGGTTCAATCCCCAGTGCCTCCATTAAAAAACTTTTTTTAAATAAACAAACTTAATTACCCACTCCACCCCCACCAAAAAAATTATGGGGCAAAGGAGAGAGTTACCTAACAAACAGGAGAACAAGAAAATATAACCATCATAAGTGTGTTTGGCAATGAAGGCTCAAACTATATAAATTTTAATACTTAACTTTACTGAGTACCTTCTGTCTGCCAGGCATACTCTGTAGGCTTTACATGGATTAATTCTTACTCTTCATTATAATCCTATAAGAAAAGACTATTATTCTCCTCATTTTACAGTTATCAAACACCAACTGACACATTCAGGAGAGAAAAACAAATCAACTATTGGAACTGGAAATATTTACATAGCTCTCTTAGAAACAGATGGATCAAGCAGACAGACAATAAGGAGAGATCTAGATCTGAATAATGCAATTAACAAGTGCAATATATTAGACATGGAGAATTCTACCCCTAACAAACAGATCATATACTTTTTCTAGCACTTGTGAAACATTTACAAAACATGACTACCTACTAAGTTACAAAGGAAACCTAATATTCCATGTTAAAGAATCAACAATACACAGTCTTTGTTCTGTGACTAACACAATAACATGAGAAATTACTAATCAAAGGATAACTTTTTAAAGTCCTCAAATGTCTGGAAACTAAAAACATACTATTATTAGTAAACCTGGGGTTAAGAAAGATGAGAAATTATGAAATACTTTAAAGTTTCTCAAATTTTCTAGGCTATAAATAAAGTTTTAATTAGAGACGTTGAATGTTAAGTACATTTGAAGGAAACCAAAAAAGGTTAGAAACTAATGAACAAAACATTCAACTCAAGAATGAATCAACTATTAGAACTGGAGATTTTAGAGAGAAAATCTGTTGTACTCTTTTCAGTAGCCGAGACATGGAAGCAACCTAAATGTCCATCAGCAAATGAATGGATAAAGAAGTTGCACACACACACACACACACACACACACACACACACACACACAGAGGAATACTACTCAACCATAAAAAAAGAATGAAATAATGCTATTTGCAGCAACATGGATAGACCTAGAGATTATCGTACTAAGTGAAGTAAGTTAGAAAAACAAATGCCACATGATATCACTTATACGAGGAATCAAAAATATGACACAAATGAACTTATTTCCAAAACAAAAACAGACTCACAGACATAGAAAACAAACTTACGGTTACCAAAAGGGAAAGGGGAGTAGGGATAATTTAGGAGTTTGGGATTAGCAGATATAAGCTACTATATATAAAATAGATAAACAAGGTCTTACTTTACAGTCCAGGGAACTATACTCAATATCCTGTAATAAACCATAATGGAAAAGAATATGAAAAAGAATATGTATATATGTGTATAACTGAATCACTTTGCTGTACATCAGAAACTAACACAATATTGTAAGTCAACTATACTTCAATTAAAAAAAAAGAACTGAGGATTTTGATATACCCTCTCAAACAATAAGCTGCAATATGGAAGATCTGAAGGATATCATTAAGAAGCTAAATCTATGAGATGCATGGAGAAGAAATATGAATAAAGGGAATAATATAATCAATGAACCAGAGGGCAAACAAAAAGAGAACTCTAGCTAGAAAGATAAAGAAGACAAAAAGAACCAACAACATAACGCCATTTGCAGCAACATGGATGCTCCTGGAGAATGTCATTCTAAGTGAAGTAAGCCAGAAAGAGAAAGAAAAATACCATATGAGATCGCTCATATGTGGAATCTAAAAAACAAACAAACAAACAAACAAAAACAAAGCGTAAATACAGGACAGAAATAGACTCATAAACAGAGAATACAGACTTGTGGTTGCCAGGGGGGCGGAGGGTGGGAAGGGATAGACTGGGATTTCAAAATTGTAGAATAGATAAACAAGATTATACTGTATAGCACAGGGAAATATACACAAAACGTTATGGTAGCTCACAGAGAAAAAAAGGTGACGATGAGTGTGTATATGTCCATGTATGACTGAAAAATTGTGCTGAACACTGGAATTTGACACAACATTGTAAAATGATTATAAATCAATAAAAAAATGTAAAAAAAAAAGAACAAAAAAAAAAGAAAATGCAAATAAGCAAAATACAGGAGGGAAATGGGACACAAACACCGCAGACAGAATACACAGGTACAATATTTTTAAAATATTTTACTTACTAGATTACTAGTTTATTATAAAAGGATATAATGCAAGAACAGCCTGATGGACAAGACGTGTAGGGCAAAGGATGTGGGAAGGGGCAAGGAGCTTCGGTGCCCTTCAGGTGCCTTTCCCCCCACATCTCCATGTGATCACCAACTCGGAAGCTCCCAGGACAGAGACTTTAAAAAATAATAACATTATTAATAATCATACACCAGTGAATTTATAAACCTAGGTGAAATGGATAACTTTCTGGGAAAATATAAACAACAAAATGGGTCAAAGAGAAATTGAAAACTTGAAAATACCAATAAGCACTAAAGAAATTAAAATGTTAATCAAAGACTTTCCTACCAAAAGTTTCGACCTGATGATTTTACAGATATGTTCTACTGACTTTGGAGGATAGTTTCTTACCACTTTATGCAAGTTTTTCAGAAACTTCAGGAAAGAAAGTGCAGATGATTATTTTTTAATACACTGATTAAGTTAACTAGTATTTTACTTAGGCTGTTTGATATACACACATTAGTGAGATGGACCAATAACATTTGTTTCGTGAATTTTCATTATTCAGTTTTAGGATCAATCTAACTAGTATTGATTGGGTAATATTCATGTTGTACTCAGATATCTTTTTAATGTTCTTGCTAGTTCTAATGCATATGTGGAGCTTTGTTCATTTCTGCATTAATTCTTGTATTCTTGCAGGGGCTTTATGTTACATGAAACTTACCTGGCATATACTTTTTACCTCTTTTAAGTATTTGACATGGTCCAGTTCAAAGGATTCTATATGTAAAATACCTCCCCTGAAGTTTTCTCCCCTCAAAATAACTTTAAAAAGTGCCAATTTTTACTATGTAGTACTAGCATTTTTTAGTATTAAAAATCTACTACTAGGAACAAATGGTGCTTGAATAATTGGATATACACTTGCTGGGGTGGGGCAGCGGCAGGGGGAGATTATGGGGAAGGATTACCAAAGGGCACGAGGACATATTCCTGGGTGATGGATATGTTCATTACGTTGACTGTGGTTATGGTTATGTATGTATGTCAAAACTCATCACACTGTAGACTTGAAATATGTACAGTTTATTGTATATCAATTACATCTCAATTATACCTCAATAAATGTGTTGCAGGGTGTGGAAGGAAGTCTTTAAATGTATCAAGATCATGAATCATATGAAGTAAAACTGACTAATTAAATTATGCCAAAATTAAGGATCTCTGTTCAATAAACAATATGATTGACAGAGTTACTGATGAAAGTTGGGAAGAGATATTTGCAGTGTCTAAAATCAATGAAGGACTAATATCTGAAATATATATAATAAACAGCCAAAAATCAATTTTAAAAAACTGGAATCTCAATAGAAAAATTGGCAAAGGAAAATGAATATGCAATTCATAAAAGAGAAAAACCAAAAGTAAGAAAAAAATTGAGATGTTCAAACATATGAATAATTACAGAAATGCAATGAGATATTTTAAATTCATGGCAAATTGAAAAATTGTAAAGTTGAATAATGTCAAGTATTGGCGAGAAGATTGGGATATAGAAATCACACCATTAGTGGTGTGACATTCCAGAGAGTGTGGAGCTCAATATGCACAAGAAATTATCACAGGACCAAAGGAGACATACACGTACAAGGATATTTATTTCAGCATCGCTTGTGGTAGCAGGAAGCTGGAGGCAATCATTAGAGTAGTGAACAAATAAAGCATAGGGACCAGTATAAGAGAGTATCTTGCAGTAGTTAGGAGCAAAGAACTAGAAGGCCATGGGAGTCAAAGAAAGTTTGTTTTATTTATTTTTTAAGGTGGCAGATATTACAGCACACTTGTATGCTAATAGGAATGATCTAGTAGACAGAACAGTTGATAATATAAGAGAAAGGGGATAAGAGAGGAAAAAGGCAAGGAGAGATGACTGAGGTGTAGAACTGGAGGGTAGGGTGAGGGTGGAGGTGCCGGATGGGAATGGGAGAGTGACAGTTGGTTTAAATAGCAGCAAACAATTCATTGTAACATGATGGCAGTCAGAGTGTATAAGCAACGATGGAGGTAAATTAACCAGATTGGTGGTAGAAAGATAAGGATATTTTCTTTTGGTTACTTTTATTTTCACAGTAAAATAAGAACCAAAGTCATCAACTAAGAGTAAGGAAAGATAAAGGGATGCTGGATAACTGCAACAAGCTTTCCTAAATAAATCCTCCCTTCCTTCATTTATAGAGTCAGGGCAGCACCCAACAGAGATGAAAGAAGTAAGAAAGAAGTAAGAGATGAACAAAGACTTGTCAGCTTTATCCAGTGTTTATATCCCTGATGTTTAGCATAATGTACTGAAGAAGGGAAGCCAGTAAGCACACCTGGGGATCTTGTTGGGGAGGGAAGGGTTGGGGTTGGTAATAGCAGGAAGAAATACTGCTAGCTAGTAACGAAGAGCTCTACCTACTTTTTCTCATTAAATACAAACAATAACCTTTAAGTAAATATGATTGTTTGACAAACAAGGAAACTAAGGGGGTTTCCTCCTTCAGAACCAGAGCCTTAAACACTAGGTTGAGGTGGATGAGTAATAAAATGAAAGGCCCCTTAAGTGGTATTAGTTGTTATCTGGTGGGAGTTTGATTCTGAGCAGATGAAGCTCTAGTCTCAGAGTGACAGAAGAAATCCTCCTCCTGATCACCTGATCATCTCTCCAGGGTCACCAGGTGGATGACCTTGGAGTAGTCACACATTTCCAGTTCTCTAAAATGGAGAGTGATGTCGCCTAGCTCACATAATCTTTATGTTAAGTGAAACATTCTCTAAGTTTGAGGAAATGCTTGCAAACGATGTAAGTATATGTATGCATATGTTAATGTCGCTATTACTATTATGACTGTTACGTAAGTGGTCAGGGCAAAGTCAACGCCCCAAGGGCAAAGGTAGCCTCTAACCGAGAATGGGCTCTCCAGGGTGCATATTAAGACAGAGCAAGTTTAAAGAATTTTAGTAATCTTGGCTCAGAGTGAGAGGCGAAATTTTTCTTCATCAAGGCTCAACTGTTCTTGACGTCTTCAGGCTTGAAACTCTGAGGGAAATTATTAGGCTCTCTGGGCAGGATCCGGAATGCAACGCCGTGTGGGGCCTCACTGCCATCCGCTGGGCACCAGGGGGTGCCCGAAGGAGCTATTCAGAGCCTGGCAGGGTTTAGGGGCCGCCACTCGCGGTGAGCCCGACCGCCTCTGGCCAGGATCCGGGTTCTCGTGCTGGAGGTGCCCGGAGTCCATGTCCTTCGGAGACGCAGTCTCCAGTGCCCTCTCCGCGTCCCCCTTCACCGCCCCCTCCTCCTTTTCTCCGGCGAGAGCCCGGCGCGGAAGGCCTGGGAAAGTGTGAGCGCTTGCGGTGGGAACGGTGTGCCCATCTGGGTCCTCAGTAGAGCGGCGGCAACGGCGGCCGCCCCGACGGCGCGGTCAGAGTCCAGTGGGCAAGGGGAGGCAGCTGTTCTCCCAGGCGGCCGTGGGGGGCAGCAGAGGGGACGGCGACAGGTGCGGGAGCCCCTCCCGGGGTGGAAGTGAAAAGGCGGGCTTCGGGGTCTGTTCCCAGGCTGGAAACCACCCCCGCCCCCCAACCAAATCCCCGGGAGAGGCCGGGCCGGCGCCGGGCCTGGAGGAGGAAGCGGCCGGAGACAGTGCAATTTCACGCGGCCTCCGGGGCTCGGGTTCCTCGGCAGCGTGGATGAGTTATGGGTTTCGAGGAGGTTCCGGGGAAACTGAGGTGCCCTAAGCAGGCGGCAAAAACACCCTCCCCTTCAAAAACACACAGAGAAACATTCACATTCAGACAGAAAATCCCTCAAGTGACCCAACCGGCTAGGGGAGTTGAGTGATTTGGTTAGTGGGCGAGGCCAACTTCAGGGGGTCGGGCTATGGAGCGTTCTCCCCACCCCCATTACCTTTCTCCTTGGAGGCATTTTGGGGGCGTTTGGGATCTTGGCCTCCGCTTAGTCCAACTCCTGGAGGAAAATTAGGGTGAGACCCGTGCGGGCTCTGCGTAGCCAAGTTGCAGGGCACTCGGGCGTGGGGCGCGCTCGGGGCGGGCCGCCCAGGCTCCAGCAATCCCGACTCCAGCCTCGCGCCCGAGGGGGCGCGGCCGTGACTCACCCCCTCCCCCTGCGCTCCCTCCCAGACTACACCCCTCCCCTGCCATCCCGCCCCGGACTCCGGCTCCGGCTCCGGTTGCAGTTTGCAACCTCTTCTGCCGCCGCTACCAAGTCGCTGGTGGCTCAGGTGGCTCCGCTTCGATGTCCTAGTTCCGGGGCCCCTCCGGCCGGATTGGGCTGGGCTCCCCTCACCCTCGGCTGGAGTCATGAGGGTGAACGCGGCTCTGCAGGTGTTGGGCTTCCTCCTCAGTCTGGCCCGGGGCTCCGAGGTGGGCAACTCGCAGGCAGGTAAGCGGCGCGGGAGCACAGGCAGGCTCGGAACCCGGGATCCCGAACCGAGTGCGCGGGGTCCGGGAGGGCAGGGGCAGGAGCTTGGGCGGTGTGAGCCTGGGGGTGCTGAGCCCAAGCCCGCTGCGACCCCCCGGGTGGGGGCCATCAGGCTCGGGTTCTCGGGCAGGGACGGGATTCCTGGACCACCACCTCCCCACCCCAGCAGCCTACCCCGCTCTGATTTGTCTCTTTGGATAGGGCTGATGCTTAAACAGTTCACACTTATGAGGGGCCCTGCAGGGAGGGGAGCTGGGACCTCCATTCTGTAAATGTGAGGGGATGATTGGAGGTGGAGATCTTGGAGGAAGCGGAGTTGGGGGAGTCTCGGTTTGCTCCCCCACCTCCTGCCCCCCGGGTCTCAGCCACCTCCAGTTTCGTTGTTTTGCCGACAGGGCGGAGCTGTGGAAGGGGGGGTGGGAGGTTGTTGTTCTCTAGTGTTGAAAAACAACAGCGGCACCTCCTCTTCCGTGAATGGGCCTGCCCTGGGAGGGCCAAGTCCAGGTGACCGCAGGGTGAGGGGCAACGCAGAGGCTGACTGCCCGCTTTCCCTCAAAACAATAAAGTTGGCTGGTCCCCGACGTGACCTCTTTTTGTCAAGAGACAGATCAATTCAAATATTTATTGAGCATCTACTATATACAAGGCCAGGAGCTGTAGGACCAAAGACTTCCAACGGTATTTCTCACTTTGTCTTTTCTCTCCCCAACCTGAGCGCCAGCAGGGCACCTCTCCCATCTTCTGAGCCCTGTCCCGGGGAGCCTGTCTTAGACCTGCTTTTCCCACACCCCCATTCTGTTTACTATCTGGCTGTCTCTAGGAGTTTAGACAAGAGTCAGATTGCTCTCTATTCTTCTTCCCACTCTCATGCCAGCTGAGCCTACCCACCACTTTGGGGTGCCTCTGGGACCATGGACACCTGAGGGGTGCTGGTGTTGCTGGCATTGGAGGAATCCTGTTGATCTCCTCCCCTCCCCCCAGATCTCAGCTCGAGGTCTGGTACAGCCAGGGCCCCTTCCCCAGGGTGGGAGTGGGAGAAACACCTGTGCTTCCCTCACAGTTGCTGGGCCTAAATTTAGACCCTGGGATCTTGAGATGTGAACACTCCCAGCTGGTGGAGGGCGGGTATCTGGGGAATGGAGGGGACTGAGTAGAGTGACTGTCACTGTCCCATCCAGACTCCTGGAATCTTCAACTGGGAACCCAGGAGTCCCAGATCCTGGCCACCTTCCCTGAGGGAGACAGGAGGCAGGCTTGGTTGGGTCTCTTTACCCTTTATCTGGATCCTGCAGCCTCTGGGCATCCGGCCCTGTCTCAGTCCTTCTATAGCCCCTTTGTCCTGGCTGTGATGGGGGTGGGGGACTTTGGAGAGGAGGCCTCTGGTTGAGGAGGGGCTGGAGATTCTTGCTCTGACCCACCCCAGTGCTCTCTACCAAAGGAGGGCCTGTGATACTGGCCCTCCCTATGCCCCTGGTCCCTGGTCCAGCAGGAACTTTATGATTCCCCTCCCCCACCCCTCCCCCAAGCTGCCTGGTTCCTCTTGAGAGGTGTTGTTAGTGCTCTTTTCCCGCCCAGCCCTTTGCTCCCTGTTTGTGTAATATGGACTTTACCCTCAGGGTGGCCAGGGACTGGGCCCTCCAACACTGTAGCCTCCCAGGCACGGACACTGTCTGCACAAACACATATGGGCAGGTGGGACGGATGGGGTCACCTGAAATACTTCCTAATGAGGAAACTTAAGGACAGAACCAGTTTAGACTTCTGGGCCAGTAGAGGAGCTGTGTACATGTTTGTGTGCGTGTGCGTGCGTGCGTGCGTGTGTGTGTACAAGTACACACCCCGCTTCCCTGTGCAGAAATACTGACTCCTCCCTTATCTGGGGAGAAGGGTTGCTGCCTTGACTTGGAAGAAGGGGTATCCTGCCAGGAAGGGGGGTGGGGTGAGGCTACTCTAGAAATGATTAAACTTCCTAGTCGTTTTCTTTTCAGCCCAAGGACCCTGGAGGTCCCAGGCTTCTCTGGGAGCTCCTGGCATGCTTGCCCTTCTGCTGGGTCCAGCTCACCCCTTTCTGTTCATGGGGAGTGATAAGGAATGGGAGCCCTTCAAAGGTCAAGTGGTCAGACTAGGGGTGCACTAGGAGGAGGGGTGGGGCCTCACCAGTCTCCCTCCCTCCATTCCCACTCCTGTCTCCCACTAGGCTGCCGCCGCCTCAGGGAAGGGTGGTTGCAACAGGTGGTATCTGCCGCCCCTCCCCGCGGTCTCTCACTGGGCCTGAGGAAGGAGACAGGGATAAGCCTTCAGGGTCCAAGATTTCCCATAGCCCCTGTGTCCTCCACGCTTACCAGGTAAAGGAAGCCCCCGAGACTGACAGGCCTCCTGCTCCCTGAGTCTAGGCTCTCCCTGAGGGGAGTGAGGACTGCCATGTTGGAAGGCTTTTTAATGAATCTCCTCTGACAATGAAACGGGCTAGACGGTTTAGAATGGAGGCAGTCAACTGCTGTTTCCATCCAGCTTCTCTGTGTTTGCTGAAAAATACTCTAGGGCTGGAAAGTGATGCTGAGGGAACTTGAATGTGTTGGGATGGGGAAGGGAGTGAGAAGGGAAGCCAGAGTTTAGGAAGGGGGTGCAGGGTAGGCAACCAGCTCCTTATCTTCCAGCTTTATAGACAAAGCTCACATTGACCCCCCCACCCCCGCCACCACCAGAGCGCCCCTCCTCTAGTGAGGTCACTTGTCTGAGCCCAAGGCTTGAGGGTGGAGGGGGGCTGCTGTTGAGGACAGGGTGTCTGGGGACAGGGTGGGGCAGCCCCCTCCTCCTAGATAGAATCGCCTCATTGTGGGCCGGACTGTGGCCCCGGGCACTGCCCCCACCCTCTGCCCCCATCCCACCCTCGGTAGACACAATAGGGGCTGTGTGCTGCCCCAAAGAGATATTTATTCCAGGACCTAGAGAGGCAGGATGGGGGTAGAGACGTAAGTGCCCTGGTTCGAGGGGGAGGGGAAGAGGAGGGTAACCAAATTGTGGCCCTTTTCTAACTTCTTCCCAGGGAGGGGAAAACAGCCCCACATCCTCCTCGGTTAACTCCTTAGTACCCAAAGAAGCGCCCCAAAGAGGCATAGAGGAGGCCCAGGTGGATAAAGGAAACCTTTTCACCTTCCTTTTCGGGGGATGGTGAGGGGATTCTGGGAAAAGAGGAAGTTTAGGCTCTCAGTCCCACATAGGCCTTCATGTCTGCCTCTAGGGGTGAGGGCCGGAGGCAGCTGCCTTCTGGGCCTATTGAATGTTCCTGGAAGAGGGCAACCAAAGGGACGGTCTTGGGGGGTGGGGCTGAAAACTTGTGTCCAGCCCTCTGCCACTCTCACCTCCACTTCAAATAGTGTGCCCTGGGACTCTGAACGGGCTGAGTGTGACTGGCGATGCCGAGAACCAGTACCAGACGCTGTACAAGCTCTACGAGAGGTGTGAGGTGGTGATGGGGAACCTCGAGATTGTGCTCACAGGACACAACGCTGACCTCTCCTTCCTGCAGGTTAGCATGCTCGACCTCCTTCCTCAACCCGTTCCCCCTTGCCCTCCCCAGAGAAGCCTCCTTCACATCCTCAGTGCTACCGTCTGCTGGAGTTCAGCATTTCTAAGACTCTATAGTTTCTAGGATCCAAACCTGTGTTTCTGGGGCAATGATTGGAATCTGGGACCTGTGGTCTGGTCACTATGGCCGGGGAAACAGGCGCTGGCCACGAGAAGGGGGCGGGGACAGGGAGGTGTTCTGCACCAGGGACCCACGTGGAGAGGCACCTGCCGACGGAGAGGTGCCTGGGGAGGTGAGGAAGGGGTAAGCACGGACATGAGGAGCATGAGAAGCTCTCCTGGCATGAGGAGCTCTGAGAAGGAAAGGACAGGAGCCCAGAATTCCTCAGTCATTTCCGCTGCCTGTCTTCACTTGCAGAAGTCTATGTGGTACCATCTACTCCCTCCTCCAAAGCAGGACTTGGAAAGAATTCAAGGAGTTAGGGATTCTCAGTGCCTCAGGGAGGGAGAGGGGATTGAGACTTTTCACCCCACTGTCCCTCTCACTGCTGTGATCTGCTCTGTCACAGTGGATCCGAGAAGTGACTGGCTATGTCCTTGTGGCCATGAATGAGTTCTTTACGCTGCCACTGCCCAACCTCCGAGTGGTGCGGGGAACCCAGGTCTACGATGGGAAGTTCGCCATCTTTGTCATGTTGAACTACAACACCAACTCCAGTCATGCCCTGCGCCAGCTCCGCTTCACTCAGCTCACTGGTCAGTTCCTGGTGATTCCGTCCCATCCTGCCCTTCGGCCCACCTGCTGATGGTGACCCAAGACTGCTCCCTCTAAGTGCTCTGCTCAAAGTCCCCAGCACCTTGACCACTGTGGTCTGAGGGTCCACTCCTCCTTAGATAAAAGAAGGCCCTAACACAGAACTGGGGCATCTGTCCCCTGGGGAGGGGCTGGAGCTGGGGCTGGGGCTGGGGCTGTTACTCATTCTTCTGACCCGAGTACTGTGTACCTTGATGTCCAGCCTTCCCTGGGGATGGGGATCCCACCTCCTCCCCCTTC